CAGAGCCGCGGGGCCGTTTTCTTAGGTTGCCTGCACAGTCCAAGAAGCTGCGTTTTGCCGCAAGAGCAGACGAGTGGTAGACTGAGGGCATGGCTGCAGCGTGGCACAACTGTGGCCAAGCACCGCTGAGCTTCAGCCTGCCCTGGTCACGGTGCTCTTGGCTGCGTGTCCTGCCAGCAGCCTGTGAAAGACCACGACACGGGAGCACCCAGGGCCGGTTTTGCACCAAAATGCAATGATAGTGCAAGAGTTGTTTGTTGGTGTCACCCACCAGCATGATGCAGTGTCACTGGATGAGGGTAGTACAATACTGGCAATGGAGTAGTCAACAAAGCAATAGTGTCAACAAAACTGCATCCTTTGAATGTTACAGTGCAAGGGTGTCACAGAGCTAAGTGTATGCAGAATAAGGATGAGATAAGTTTGTCTGTGGGATCTTAACAAAATTATGTTTTAAGCCCTGTAACAAAGGAGGAACATGGATTTTATTTCTCCTCTAACTCCCAGGGATCAAGTTGGCTTAGGATAGCCAGGAGGTCTTGTCTGTCATGGTTCTAAAGAGGAAACAGTGGAGGACTCTACTCCATGCTGGTGAGACCGTACCTGGAGTGCTGCATCCAGCTCTAAAGCCCTTGGCAGAGGAAAGACACTGAATGGCTTGAGCAGGTCCAGAGGAGGGCCACAAAAATTATCAGGGGGCTGGAGCACCTCTCCTATGAGGACAGGCTGAGAGTGGGAGTTGTTTAGCCTGGAGAAGAGAAAGCTCTGAGGAGACCTCATTGCAGCCTTTCAGCACTCAAAGGGGGCCTACAGGAAAGATGGGGAAACTTTTTAGCAGGGCTTGCAGCGACAGGACAAGGGGTAATAGTTTTAAACTAACAGAGGGCAGATTTAAACTAGATACAAGGAAGAAATTGTTTACAATGAGGGTGGTAAAACACTGGCATAGGCTGCCCAAAGAGGTGGTAGAAGCCCCATCCCTGGAAACATTCCAAGTCAGGCTGGATGGGGCCCTGGGCATTCTGATCTAGTTGAAGATGTCCCTGCTTACTGCAGGGGGTTGGACTGGATGACCTTTAAAGTTGTCTTCTAGCCCAAACGATTCTGATTCTATGACCCAGGTGCAAAGCTGTTCTCGTGGCCATTGGGGAGTCTATGTATGTGGTGCCCTGCAGAGAACTGTTTGAATCCCATCTGTGTAGCTAATCCTGGCTATTCTGGTCCCATGTCTAATATTAGGAGTGGCTGTAGGGGATGTCAGGAGGCAGGAAGCTGCAGAGGGAGAACATTGCATCTGTAGTCTGCCTGTGGTTTTCAGTGCAGACACATAGTGCTACTGTGTAGTAACACTAGCTGCATGGAGAAAACACAAGTGGAGAGCACACCACTTGCAAGCTGATTTTGTTCAGTTTCTCAGGGTCAGGTGCTAGCTTGTACAAGTTTGTGCCTGTGTCATGTCCTTGTCTGAAACTCATGCTAATGAATCCTGAGTGCCAGGTGACTCTAGGATTTGTGTTTGGAATGGGAAGTGGAAATAAAATTTTTACCTAAATGCTTCTAGCTTTAGGAGTGTCAGACAAAGCTCTGGAGAGACAGGAGGTGCGCTATTTTCAGCCATGCTCTGGTGAGAGATCCATGGTGCATGTGGGGGGGGCACAGAGGGTGAGATTGACATGACACGTGTGCGGGACAACTCTGGCCCCTTACCAAGAACAGAATCAAATGTCTAATCATAGGCAGAGCAGCAGCTGAGAGTCCAGAAGAGTGGTGAAGGCTGGGCTTGACAGTCTCAGCTCTCCTCTTGTGTGTGTGTAAACTTGAAGGAGAAAGTGAGCAGAAAGCCTTTTGGGTGACCCAAGATACACAGTGTGAATGGTGAAGATGGGAGTAGAAGATACTGCCTGTTAAGAACTGGAGTCTGTTTTGAAGTTGGGAAGACAAAGTATTCAAAGCGCAGAAATATGGGAGCTGAAGAAGAAATGCTTATCACTCTGTCTGGAGGTACCCCCTGGGGCTTCCGGCTGCAAGGGGGTTCAGAGCAGAAAAGACCCCTTCAAGTATCAAAGGTAGGACCTCAAGATGTGTACTGTGAGGGCAAAATTGTTCTGCTGAACTCAGATATGCCTACTGAGTCAGGCATCTTTCACTACCGTTAAGGAATGCAGGAACTCCTTACTGTGGCAGCAGATCTTAAAAGGAAAACTTGCGTGAAATGGTCAAGCAGGGTGTGGGGTGGGATATGCGTCCTGAAATAGATGCTATTGAGGTAGAAACAAGTGCCAGCTGAAGACCTGCTTCAGTGCAGGTCTATACAGTTCAGACGCTTTATAATCTGCACAGCTCTCCCCAGTTGTCAGCAGAGATTGAACCATAGTGACAGGATGCAGGAAAAAGAGCTCAAATATTGAAACTTCAGTGCTTGTGTAAGACATACAACTGAAGAAAAAATAAATTGAAGCAATAAAAGCCATATTTGTAATTCAATTCATCTGTCCCTAACACTTCATTATTATATTCCAGCTTTCAAAATAAATGCACATTTCTTAGGGACTATTCTGTTGGTGAAAACTTTCTCAATACTGTTTGAAGTGAGTATTTTTGATGCTCTAAGCAGCAATATTGGTTCCATTTCAAGAATGAAAGAAAAGCCGTTCTTTGGATGAGAGATGAAATAATAAAAAAGGAATAAACACGAACCTTGAGTTGCAGTACTTTTGATATGTAGCTGTTACTGTTCTCTTTTCATAAAGACTACTGAGTAGCTTAAGAATTAGGAAAAAAAGTTCTCTGTTTATTAAGCTCATAACAGCTGCATTAGCCTTGACACAATATCTTGGGATGTCTCACTGGAAGGCACCCAGCAGCA